TTCGATACAATCCCAATCAAAATCCCAACAAATTGTTCTGCGGATACTGATAAATTGATTGTAACATTTAAGGGAGAGGCAAAAGACTCAGGACAGAGAATTCAATGTTGTAAGAGAGCCAAGTTGGAGGACTTCCACTACTTGACTTCATGACTTACTATAAAGCTACAGTAATCAAAACAGTATAGTATTGACCAAAGCATAAACAGACAAATGGAACAGAATAGAGGGCCCAGAAATAAACTCACAAAAATACAGTTAACTGATCTTTTACAAAGGAGCAAAGAAAATACCATGGAGCAAAGACAGTCTTTTCAACAAGTGGTGCTGAAATGATTAAACATCTACAAATAAAAATAAATGTAGACACATACTTTATACCTTTCACAAAAATTAATTCAAAGTGGATTGTAGACCTAAATGCAAAATGCAAAATCATAAAACTCCTGGAAGATCATATAAAAGAAAATCTAGGTTACCTTGGTTATAACAGTGACTTTGTAGATATGATACCAAATGCATGATCTGTGAAAGAAATAACTGATGAGTTAAACTTCACTACAATTAAAATCTTTTGCTCTGAGACAATGTCAACAGAAAGAAGACAAGTCATAGATTGAGAGAAAATATTTGCAAAAGATATGTCTAATAAGAGTATTCAAAATATTAAGGAAAAAAAAAAAACACTTGATAATCAGCAATTTAAAAAAAAACATATACAACCTGCTGGGCAAAAGACCTGAACAGACACCTCACCAAAGATATTCAGGCAGCAAGTAAGCATATGAAAAGTTATTCGGTATCATACATCATTGGGAAATTGTAAATTAACAATGAGATACCACCGTACAACTATTAGAGTGGATAAAATCCAGATCATTGACAACATCACATGCCACTGAGAATGTGGAACAGCAGAAACTCTCATTAATTGCTGGTTGGAAAGCAAAAAGGTACAGCAACTTTGAAAGAGAATCTTGCAGTTTTTCACAAAAGTAAACATCCCTTACCATATGGTTCAGCGATCATACTATCTGGTATTGACCAAAATGAACAAAAAACTTACATCTGCACAAAAACATGTTTATAGCAGCTTTATTAATGATTACCAAAACTTGGAAGCAACCAATATGGCTTTCATAGTTGAATGGCTATAGAGACTGTGGTATCCATACAGTGTAATATTACAGTACTTTCAAAAAAGTGAGCTACATAAAGAACTGTAGGAAACTTAAATGCATATTAATAAACAAAAGAAGCCAATCAGAAAAGGTTATATACTATATGATTTTAACTAAATAACAGTCTGAAAAAAGGTCTAACTGTATACATAATGAGGATATCAGTAGCTTTGTCAGTTGTTATGAGACAGAGGGATGAATAGGCAGAGGACAGAGAATTTTTAGGATAGCGAAGCTATTCTGTGTGATACTATCATGGTAGATTTGTCATTATACATGTCCAAACCATGGAAACTATAACACCAAGAGTGAACCCTAATTTAAACTACAGACTTTAGTAGACAGTGATGTGGCAATGTCAATTCATTTGTTCTAATGAATATACCACTCTGGTGTAGGATATTGATAATAAGAGAGTTTGTGTATGTGAAGGGACAGGGGTTATGGAGACTACTTCCCATTCAACTTTGTTGTAAATCTGAAACTGCATAAACAAATAAAGCTTATTGAGTAAAGAAAACCTGGAATCCCAACAGGTATAAAATTCAAGTTGGAAACTGGCTTTTGTAGTTCTGGTATAATTTAAAAGCAATGCTTTTGTTAATGTTACACATAAATCAAATAAGACCACTGATATCTTTCAAGTTAGTGTTGTTTTTATTTGAATTTCTGTAAACAGAGGCAAAATGTCTTCCCCAAAATGTCTTTCTTCACTTTCTCTGAATTGTACTCAACTATTTCTGTAAATCCTTATGGAGTCTCAAGGGAAGTTATACATCATAGTGGTTAAAAGCCCAGCCTTAGGCTTTTAGCTCTGCTATTTACCATGTGACTTTGGACAAGTAATGAAACCTCAGAGTTCCTGTACCTCTTCAGGAATATAAAGGAAATCGTAGGACTTACTCCTAGGCTTGCTATAAACATTTGAGGAGGTGATGCACACCAAATGTTTATGCAGTACTTGGCACATATGAATATGTTCAATCCAAAATAACTCTTCTTTTAATCCTGAGTGTTCTCAGTTAGCCTGTTGAAACAAACATTTCCTCCTGTCCTGCTCAGAATACCTAGCTCAAAGTTAGACTATCATGCATTGTTGCTATAGGCAAGATTTTAACTGATGGTCACTTAATTTCATGGCATATTTCCTCAACAATAAATATTGTTCCTAATCTCTCTTGACCTCATTCTAAGCAAGTTTTATTCCCACTATTTTACAACAACAATAATAACAACTATTAAGGTCACCAGTGACTTCCACTACCATGTTGCTAAATTAAGTGGTTAATTCCTAGTCCTCATGTGATTTGACATTTTAGTAGTATTAAACACAGTTGATCACATCTTCACATATTTTTATTTGATTTAAGGGGCATTAGGCATTCATTCAATCTCACTGGTTTCTTCTACTTACTTCTTAGTTACCTCTGCTTGCCCCTTTCTCTTCCTTCTGATCATGATGCTTTAAGGTTCAGTTTTTCAATTCCCTTTCATTCTGGCCTCCCTTCTCCTTTCTCCTTTCTCAATGTGATTACATTGAGTCCCATGGCTTCTCTTACCAACGATATGCTAGTAATCCGCAAGTTTTTACCTCAAGCACAGAATTTCTTTCCTGAACTCCAGATTTGTATGTCCATCTGCCTTTAGCCCAAAACCAAATTTCTGATAGTTCACATTTTTCCTACCTTTTTCACTTCAGTTAATGGGAGTCCATCCTGCTAGTGTTCAGGGCAAAAATCGTGGGATAAATAGTCTTTCTCCCCTTTACTTACAGTCTATATCTCATCTATCAGAAAATCTCCTCTCTTCAAAATGTGTCCAAAATGAGATCAGTTCTCATCATCTCACTGATGCCACCCTGGTGTGAGCCACTTGGATCTCTGCAATAGTCCCCTGACTTGTCTACCTATTTCTGTCTCTGGTCTACTTATAGTCTGCTCAATGTGGGATCCAGAGTGGGTCTTTTAAAATGTAATTCAGATCATGTTCCTCCTCTGCTCAAAACCCTCCAATATCTCTAGTTTCCATGTAATTTGGAATGAAAAGCAAAGTTTCTATAAGGAACTATGAGTCACTGTATGACACCCCAACCCCCAATTTCTTCATCCATGGTTCTCCCTTTCACCACTTTGTTTACTGTGCTTCAGCCCTTTTGGTCTTCTAGCTGTCTTTAAACATCCCACTCATGCTCTTGCCTTAGGGAATCTCACCTCAAGTTCTCCATTCTGTAATATTTTCTCATCAGTTAACATTGTTACACCGCTCATTTCCTGTAATAGTTTCCTTTTATCACAACCTCAACAATAACTACTCTGACCTCCTATTTATTCACAATACAATGCTCTATCCATCATATTCTTTATGCTTTCTTCCTTTTGCTTTTATCCATGACATGTTTCTAACGTATTATGTACTTATTTATTAGATTGATTATTTGTCTCTCTCCCAACCCATACATACATACCCTAGAATGTAAACTAATTGAGGGCAGGGAGTTTTGTCTTTTTTGTTCACCAATTTACTCCAAACATCAAAAACAGTGCTCAGCACAAAATGCTAAAAACAATTAGCTGATTAAGTAGTTACTTAATCAAGAAACTGCTACTGAATGTAAACCTAGTATCATGTTGAGCACTGATGAGTCATTTAACATATTTTTTTTCAAATATTTTACATGTACTCACTAAATAAACTTTTAATAAGTAGTTAGTGTTAACAAAAGAGCATCTTTATTGAGCCTTTATGTGCCAGACAAAGAATTGATGAATGTATCAGGCCTCATCCTGCAGGAGCTCAGGATCAGGGTGGAGGGGCATTAAGAATAAGCAGGCACTTATTTCACAGTGGGCAGTGCTAGGAAGGAGGCTTAAGGAAAGCACTTCATCCAAGCAACACAGGAGGTGAGTTCAAGGAAAACCCATTGAAGATTCAAAGAAGAGATGGAGTCAAGCAAAGGAAAGACAGCCATGAAAATTCAGTGGTGAGGCCTTAGAAGAAGTTCAGTGTGTTTGGAGCCTAGAGATCAAATTCCAGAGCAGTGTGAGGAAGGTGGGAGCAGACAGACAAAGGTCAGGATGATGAGGGTCTTTATAAGCAATATTAAGGAGTCTGGACTTTAAAATATGTGGCTTCCATGACAATTTATGGGCCACATGTTATCCACTTAAATGAATGCCACAGACTAATCCTTGCCATAATTGCAGTTAATATAGCATGACAGTGCTGGTATTCTGCTAAAATGTGGTGGTCTCTTTCTTATCCCCAGCTTATCAAAGGCACATGTACAATCTGGTGTCAACATCTGTTAAAATGATCCACAACGAAATCTTTTTTGTATTCCCACATTTCAGAACAATTTGCATTTGAGATTGTTTTTCTTTTTGAAGCCCTACTCCACCCCTGCCATTTGTGCTCATATTGTCATGATGCTCATATTGTCTATGATCCAAGTTGTCATTCATTACTGCCCACCACTCCCTATCAGGATTTGCCATCCAAGCTTTGATCTCTCTCTGTATCTCTCATTTTCTAATTATTCATACTCCCTTTCTGTCCTTAAAGAACCCCTTTTATGAGTTTTGTTTTTAAAGCCCTGACAAACCAGCAGTTCTTCCATTTGTGTATTTCTTACTGATGCCCATGGTATTCTCTGTAATAAACATGAATGTAGCTAGCAAACTTTAGACAGAGATGGAGCACAGTAAGTGGGGAAGGATAGATAAGGCATTTTACAGTTTATTGAAATGTAAGTGATAGCACCTCATTTGAAACATTTAAAATTTCATTTTAATACACTGTCTTTTTTTTTCTCAAAACAAGGATTTTTATCTCAAAACAAAGAAAAGGCAATGAGTACAACTGAAGAAATCCAAAGGGTACAAGTAGATTGCTGGCTACTTGGGAAGATGTGGTGGGAAAACACTTTCTTACAAACTAACAAGGTTCTCATGCTCACAAGGAAGGCACGAGAGAAAAAGAAGGTGAAAGTTGCTTTTGTGGTTCAGAGGACCGAGGAACAAATAACAGGTAACATCTGATCTCCTCAGCAAGATGAAGATGTGTATTGAAGAGAAATGCATTGTTTTCAAGCATGGCAGGGAGTTTTAAAGATGCCCACAAATAGAACTGTTCTGATTAGCATTTCCTGAGAATCGAGCAAATTCAGATTTAGGAAACACTTGTTAGGGACAAACTGTGCGCAAAGCATAGCACAAAACACTTTCACAAATATTTTATTTTTGTAACAGCATTGTAAGCTAGGCATTTGGTCAGCTAGCCTTCCTACTTCTTTCCTTTCTGTCTTTCCAGCATCTATAATTCACCTCTTAGGTACCAAGCCATGGTCACTGATAGAATCATAAAGCATCATCCCTGCCCTCAGGGAGCTCACAGTTTTTTAGGAGGAACAGATTGTACTGACAGTATAGGATCACCTCCTTCATGCTTGAAATAACAAAGCCATATATTTAGGGGAGTCTGTGGCAGATGAGGAGCCATGTTTGACTTGTTTTTCCAGAATGTCTTATGTTTCTATGGATTTTTCTACTTGTACTCATTTCAATTCTCATCCCTATGTTTTCCTAACAGCCTTCATTGAAGCTCCTTTTAAAAATCCACAATGCCCAGTTTTTTGTTTCTTCCCTACTCACTCTTCATAAAAGAATCAATGAGGAGTAGTAGTGATGAGTATTGAGTGTTCTCAAAGAAATATCTGGGTTTCTCAAATCATTATATGATCTCACAGCTTTATCAGCTCTTTAGTGTTCAGAGCCAAGTATTCCAGAAGTTTGTATGCTCCTGACACTGTGGCTTTTTTTTCATTGATGCTTTCTGGAAAAACAGGCTATCCAGAAAATGCAAGCTTCCCTTATTACTTCAAGATACTTTTTCCTCTGCACTTTCCTATTACTTACCACTTATTAGTACTTGCCATTATTGCCTAATATTCATCACTTCTTATTAGTTGCCCCAAGTGATTGAGTCTTTTGAGCCATCATTTAACATTAATATCAACATAAACAGGTCATACTAAAGCTAGGCCATGTTTGTTAAGAGTCTCATACAAGCACATTCTTCCACAAAAAGCTACAGAGTTCCAACAACAGCAGCAACCACAATAGTAATGATATCTGTGACTCCACCCAAATCAGCCTCTTCTGTTCCTAGGAGAAAAAAAAATATTCCAGGGTAAAAGAGAAGGTTGAGAAAAGAGAGAGAAGAGAAAAAAGACAAGGGGAAAAGTTAAGTAAAAAGGAAAACAGGTCTTCAGCTCCTAGGTAACTTCAGAGTATGTTCTGGTCTGCTGGATCTTGTGAGGCAGGTACTCCATTTTTCAGCTTGCCTGGATACTGATGAACAATTTCTAGGTCAGAAAAATTCTATCTAGATGGAGTCTGCTTTCTACTGCATGAGGATTTCACTCCTGATATCATCAGTAAACTTCTTTCTCACTCAGCTAAACCTACCTTTCTGACTTACAAGAGAAAAATACTCTCTTAAGGTAGTAATACAATAATAAAGTCAGCAGGCAGAGAAATTCTAGGCAGACAAGGGCAGGTCCCTGGCAAAAACCCACCTTCAAGCCAAAAAGCCTGAAACTGCTACCCAAAATAAGAACTGATATCCCTGTTTTCCTGCTCAAATGTTGCCTTTTTGTAACCCACCCATGACCCTGCCCTGCCTCATCTTGTGCCTATAAAAACCCCAGACTCAACTGGTATATGAGATTATAGCTGAACATCAGAGAGAAACTCCTTGACTTCAGAGGGACAGCTTGATGACATAACTTTGGATAATCTTGCCATAGATGGCTGGACTTCAGGGGAAGATTATCTACTCATCCTGCCCCTTTTAAGTTTCTTTTCCCACTGAGAGCCACGTTAATTGGCAATAAAATCCTCCCCATTTACCATCCTTCAATTTGTCCATGCAACCTCATAATTTTCCTGGATGCTGGACAAGAGCTTGGAAGTCACGAGTGCAGATACAAAAGGCTGTCACACTGCCCTTTGCTCTTGCTGTTGGAGGGTAGACACCTCACACAAAAAGGCAAACGGCCCACTGAGCTGTTAACTCTTAAGCTGAGCACTGTAACATGCCCTCTGGAGTTTGAGGAATCACAGGAACCCCTGCCTGAATGCTGCCACAGGGCCTGCATGAAGCTCACTCTTGCTGACACTAAAGCATCCAGCCAGTTCCTGCACCCACTCACCTGCATGTTCCCTCCCATGAGGAGAGGAATGCAGGGTGTCCCATACTTGTTTGCTCTCACACTCTCTCCCATGAGGAGTTGAGAGCGGTGGGCTGAGTAAATGAGGCACCCTGTCATGAGTCCTGCAAAGAGGTCAGAGAAATAACCTGCCTCAGTATTAGTGGAGGCTAATATTTGACTCTGATGGTGGGTCCTATGCCTTTTGTTCTCCTTGACATTCTGTATTTATTCCTTAGCATAAACTCAGAGGCATATGATGGCCAAATGTTTATTTGTGATGCAGAGACCCTGGGATCCCAATGCTCATTATTCATCTTCTACAGTGAAGTCACAACATCTACATATTTTTCACATGGGAAAACCTGATACTGCATTCTCATTAGTAAGGTTTGAACCTTCTACCTCCTTCAGACCTCATTTCAGCAAAACTGTCTATAATATGCATGATATAAAGTAATAAATCCTGACATTGCAAACCATAATATTATAGAATTTGCCGTCTTCCTAGATATTTGATGATTATCTTAAAGGTAGACTGATATGGATATTCAGGAAGCCATACGGACTTACCCTATTTTATTATTTATACTAGCTCAGAGTTATTTCTCTGTACTCAGACATAAGAATTACTACATAAGGTTGGTTATATAAGATATGTGCTCGATTCTATGGGTAACTTAAATAATTTTCAAGAGTTTTTTTAATGTAATGCTTTAATTATCCCTGATTCAGATCCAAATATTCTGTGAAATGCAGGTCCACTATGGAATCTACACATTTCCACCCTGTGCCTTTACTCTGGCTACTGTAGGTAAGGTACACCCTCCTTCCACTCAAATCAAATACTATTCAGTCTTTAAAACCAAACTGAAAGCTCTCTTTTCATGAAACATTTTTGGTACTCCTAGTCCAAAGCAGCATCTCTCTTCTCTTGGTTCACCACCATCTGTGCTGGCATCTCTCTCATTCTATCTTGCCTCAACTGATAGGCATGCCTGGCTTTTCCACCTGAGTAGAAACCTCCTTGAGGGCTCTCAGAAATTGTGATTCTCTTTACTTCCTTTGGGATGACCAACACTGAGCTATGCTTTAATACCTGTTTATTGAGTTACAGAAATAAACAGATAGGTATTAGGAAAATAGGAAAATACCCTAGATGTTCCAAGCCCAGGCTACTTCTATTTAAATGATCTGTGGGAAAGATACTTTTCTTAATGGGTTAGGCTTGAGGTTCTTTTTCCGAATAGTTTTTATGCAACAATTGTCTGTGAAATTGACACCAGGCAATTGTAAATATAATAGTGACAAACATGATAGTGATAAAAATCCTTAATAGACATCAGAGATCTGCATTCTAGTTTCAGCTCTAACAGTAATATGCTATGTGATCCAACTGAATTCCTTCTAATTTCTGAGTTTTAGCTGCCTTAGGTATAAAAGGAAAAGAATATGCCCCTGTTTTTCTTACCATTCCAGTGAAGTACTTCCTATCAGTGACTCTTGATGCTGGTTTCACATTGAAATGGCTGGAGTTTTTGTTTGTTTGTTTGTTTTTGTGTACTTAAGTTCAGGGGTATATGTGCAAATTATGCAGGATTGTTGCATAGTTACTACATGCAATGTGGTTTGCTGCCTCCATCCCCCCATCACCCACATCTGTCATTTCTTCCCATGTTATCCCTCCCCTGCTTCCCTACCCCTGAACTGTATCTCCCCTAGGCCCCGCACAAAAGACCCCAGTGCATGATGCTCCCCTCCCTGGGTCCATGTGTTTTCATTGTTCAACACCCACCTAGGAGTGAGAACATGTAGTGTTTGGTTTTCTGTTCCTGTGTCAGTTTGCTGAGAATGATGGTTTCCAGAATCATCCATGTCCCTACAAAAGACACAAACTCATCATTTTTTATGGCTGCATAATATTACATGATGTATATGTGCCACATATTCCTTGTCCAGTCTATCATCGATGGGCATTTGGGTTGGTTCCAGGTGTTTGCTATTGTAAACAGTGTTCACAATGAACATATGTGTGCATGTATCTTGATAACAGAATGATTTATAATCCTTTGGATACATATCCATTAATGGAATTGCTGGGTCAAATGAATTTTCTATTTCTAGATCCTTGAGGAATCCCACACTGTCTTCCACAATGGTTGAACTGATTTGAACTCCCACCAACAGTGTAAAAGTGTTCCTATTTCTCCACATCCTCTCCAGCATCTGTTGTCTTCAGATATTGTAATGATCGCCATTATAACTGGTGTGAGATGATATCTCAACATGGTTTTGATTTGCATTTCTCTAATGACCGGTGATGAGCATTTTTTCATATGTTTGTTGGCCTCATAGATGTCTTCTTTTGAAAAAGTGTCTGTTTAGATTCTTCATCTACTTTTGAATGGGTTTGTTAGTTTTTTTCTCATAAATCTGTTTTAGTTTTTGTAGATTCTAGATATTAGCCCCTTTGTCAGATGGGTAGATTGCAAAAACCTTTTCCCATTCTGTTGGTTGCCATTTTACTCTAATGATTGTTTCTTTTGCTGTACAGAAGCTCTGGAGTTGAATTAGATCTCATTTGTCTATTTTGGCTCTTCTTGCCAATGCTTTTGGGGTTTTAGTCATGAAGTCCTTGCCTATGCCTATGTCCTGAAGGGTTTTGCCTCGGTTTTCTTCTAGAGGTTTTATGGTGTTAGGTTTTAGGTTTAAGTATTTAATCCATCTGGAGTTAATTTTAGTGTAAGGTGTCAGGAAGGGGTCCAGTTTCTGCTTTCTGCACTTGGCTAGCCAGTTTTCCCAACACCATTTATTAAACAGGGAATTCTCTCCCAATTCCTTGTTTTTCTCAGGTTTGTCAAAGATCAGATGGTTGTAGATGTGTGGTGTTGCCTCTGAGGCCTTCATTCTGTTCCATTAGTCTATTGGTTTTGGTACCTGTAGCATGCTGTTTTAATTACTGTAGCCTTGTAGTATAGTTTGAAGTCAGGTAGCATGGTGCCTCCAGCTTTGTTCTTTTTGCTTAGGATTGTCTTGGCTATGTGGGCTCTCTTTTAGTTCCATTTGAAGTTTAAGGTGGTTTATTCCAATTCTATGAAGAGGGTCATTGGTAGCCTGATGGGAACAGTATTGAATCTATAAATTACTTTGAGCAATGTGGTCATTTTCATGATATTAATTCTTCCCAACCATAAGCATGGAATGTTTTTCCATCTCTTTGTGACCTCTCTTATTTCCTTGAGCAGTGGTTTATAGTTCTTATTGAAGAGATCCTTTACAACCTTTGTTAGTTGTATTCCTAGGTATTTTTTTCTCTTTGTAGCAATTATGAATGGGAGTTCACTCTTGATTTGGCTCTCAGTCTCTTATTGGTGTATAGGAAGGCTTGTGATTTCTGCACATTGATTTTTTTATCCTGAGACTGTTTAAGTTGCTTATCAGTTTAAAAATATTTTGGGATGAGAAAATGGGGTCTTCTAAATATAGAACCATGTTGTCTGCAAATAAAGACAATTTGACTTCCTCCTTTCTTAACTGAATACCTTTTATTTCTTTTTCTTGCCTGATTTCTCTGGGTAGAACTTCTAATACTATGTTGAATAGGAGTGGTGAGAGAGGGCATACTTGTCTAGTGCCAGATTCCAAAGGGAATGCTTTCAGTTTTTGCTCATGCAGTATGATATTGGCTGTAGGTTTGTCGTAAATATCTTTTATTATTTTGAGATATGTTCCAGTGATACCTAGTTCATTGAGAGTTTTTAGCATAAAGTGCTGTTGAATTTTGTCGAAGGTCTTCTCTGCATCTATTGAGATAATCATGTGGTTTTTGTCTTTGGTTCTGTTTATGTAGTTGATTACTTTCATAGACTTGCCTATGTTGATCCAGCCTGGCATCCCCAGGATGAAGCCTATTTTATCATGATGGATAAGGTTTTTGATGTGCTGTTGCAGTCAGTTTGCCAATATTTTATTGAAGATTTTTTCATCTATGTTCATCATGGATATTGGCATGAAGTTTTCTTTTTTCATTGAGTCTCTTTAAGGTTTTGGTATCAGGATGATGATGGTTTCATAAAATAATTTGAGAAGGATTCCTTCTTTTTGGATCATTTGGAATAGTTTCAGAAGGAGTGGTACCAGCTCCTCTTTGTAAGTCTGGTAGAATTTGACTGTGAACCCATGTAGACGTGTGCTTTTTTTTGGTTGGTAGGCTATTAATTGTTACCTCAACTTTAGCCCTTGTGATTGGTCTATTCAGGGTTTCAGATTCTTCTGGTTTAGGATTGGGAGAATGCAATTGACCAGGAATTTATCCATTTCTTCCAGGTTACTGGTTTATGTGCATAGAGTTGTTTGTAGTAATCTCTGACGGCAGTTTGTATTTCTGTGGAATCGGTGGTGATATACCCTTGATTGTTTTTTATTGCATCTATTTGATTCTTCTCCCCTTTTTATTAATCTTGCCAGATATCTGTCTATTTTGTTGACCTTTTTAAAAAACAAGCTCCTGGATTTACTGATATTTTTTTTTGAAGGGTTTTTTGTGTCTCTGTCTCCTTCAGTTCTATTCTGATGTTAGTTATTTCTTGTCTTCTGCTAGCTTTTGATTTTTGTTTAGATCTTGCTCCTCTAACTCTTTCAGTTATGATGATAGAGTGTTGATTTTATTTATTGCTATGACTTTCCCTCTAGACTCTGTTTTAAATGTGTCCCAGAGATTCTGGTACATTGTGTCTTCATTCTTATCGGTTTCAAAAAACATCTTTATTTCTGCCTTAATTTCATTGTTTATACAGTTGACATTCAGGAGCCAGTTGCTCAGTTTCCATGAAGTTGTGCAGTTCTGAGTTAGTTTCTTAATCCTGAGTTATAATTTGATTGCACTGTGGTCTGAGAGACTGTCATGATTTCTGTTCTTTTGCATTTGCTGAGATTATGTGGTCCAATTACGTGGTCCATTTTAGACTAGGTGTAATGTGATGCTGAGAAGAATGTATATTCTGTGGATTTGAGGCAGAGAGTTCTGTAGATGTCTATTAGGTCTGCTTGGTCCAGATCTGAGTTCAAGTCCTGAATATCCTTGTTAATTTTCTATCTGGTTGATCTGTCTAATATTGACAGTGGAGTGTTAAAGTCTCCCACTATTCTTGTGTGGGAGTCTAAGTCTCTTTTTAGGTCATTAAGAACTTGCTTTACATATCTTGGTGCTCCTGTATTCAGTGTGTATATATTTAGGATAGTTAGCTCTTCTTGTTGCATTGATCCTTTTACCATTATGTAATGTCCTTCCTTGTCTCTTTTGATTTTTGTTGGTTTAAGGTCCATTTTATCAGAGACAAGGATTGCAACTTCTGCTTTTTTTGCTCTCCATTTGCATGGTAAATCTTCCCCCATTCCTTAATTTTGAGGCTATCTGTGTCCTGGCACGTGAGATGGGTTTCCCAAATTCAGCACACCAATGGGTCTTGACTTTTTGTCCAATGGGCATTTAACCCATTTACATTTAAGGTTAATATTGTTATGTGTGCATTTGATCCTGCTTTTTTGATGTTAGCTGGTTGTTTTGCCATTAGTTGACATGATTTCTTCTTAGTATTGATGATCTTTAAAATTTGGTATGTTTTTTGGAGTGGCTGGTACTAGTTGTTCCTGTTTACGTTTAGTGCTTCTTTCAGGAGCTCTTGTACAGCAGGCCTGGTGGTGACAAAAATCTCTCAGCAATTGCTTGTTCTTAAAGGATTTTATTTCTCCTTCACTTAAGAAGCTTAGTTTGGCTGGATACCAAATTCTAGGTTGAAGGTTCTTTTCTTTAAGGATGTTGAATATTGGCCCCCACTCGCTTCTGGCTTATAGTGTTTCTGCCAAGAGATATACAGTGAGTCTGATGGGCTTCCCCTTCTGGGTAGCCTTTCACTCTGGCTGCCTTTAGCATTTTTTTCTTCATTTCAGCCCTGGTGAATCTGATGATTATGTGCCTTGGGGTTGCTCTTTTTGAGGAATATCTTTGTGGTGTTCTCTGTATTTCCTGGACTTGAATGTTGGCCTGCCTTGCTAGGTTCCAACCTAGCAAGTTCTTCTGGATAATATCCTGAAGAGTGTTTTCCCGGTTGAATTCATTCTCTCTGTCACATTCAGGTATACCTATCAAATATAGATTAGGTCTTTTCACATAGTCTCATATTTCTTGGAGGCTTTGCTCATTGCTTTTTACTTCTTTTTCTCTAATCTTGACTTCTCATTTTATTTCATTTAGTTGATCTTCAGTGTCTTATACCCTTTCTTCCACTTGGTCAATTCAGCTATTGAAACTTATATATGTTTTGCAAAGTTCTCTTGTTGTGTTTTTCAGCTCTATCAAGTTGTTTATATGCTTCTCTAAGCTGTTTATTCTTATTAGCATTTTGTCTCACCTTTTTTCAAAGTTCTGAGTTTTTTTGCATTGGGTTAGAACATGTTCTTTTAGCTCAGTGACGTTTATTATTACCCACCTTCTGAAGCCTGCTCCTGTCAATTCATCAGACTCATTCTCCATCCAGCTTTGTTCCCTTGCTGGTGGGGAGTTGTGATCCCTTAGAGGAGGAAAGCCATTCTGATTTTTGGTGTTTTCATCCTTTTTTGCACTGGTTTCATCCCATCCTCATGGATTTATCTACTTGTTGTCTTTGTAGTTTATGACTTTCAGAAGGGGGCTCTGAGTGGACATTCTTTTTGTTGATGTTGAAGCTATTTCTTTCTGTTTTTTAGTTTTCCTTCTAACAGTCAGGCCCCTCTGCTGCAGGACTGCTGGAGGTCCACTCCAGACCCTGCTTGCCTGGGGATCACCCATGGGGGCTTCTGAATAGTAAGGGTTGCTTTTGTGTCTTCTTCTGTTATCTTTGTCCCAGAAGCATACCCATCAGATGTCAGCGTGAACTCTCCTTTATGAGGTGTCTCTTTGGATATATGGGGGTTGGGGAGCTGCTTGAGGAGACAGTCTGTCCCTTATAGGAACTCAAGTGCTGTGCTGGTAGCTCTGTTGTTCTGTTCAGAGCTGCTAGGCAGGTACATTTACATCTGCTGCAGTAGAACTCATAACTGCCTTTTTTCCCAAGTGCTTGTCCTGGGAAGGTGGGGCTTTATTTATAAATTCCTGACATGCTGCCACTTTTTTTCAGAGATGCTCTGCCCAGCAAGGAAGTAGTGTAGTCACAGTCTGCCAGTAGAGGTATTGATGAGCTGCTGCAGGCCGCTTTGTAAAATTCCTTGCAGTTTTGTTTACAGATGTACAGTTAGAACTGTCTTGGTAATGGTGGTCTGCCTCAGTAATGGTGGACTGCTTCAGTGATGGAGGAGTGCCTCGGTAATGGTAGACTCCTTGGTAATGGTGGACACCCTTCCTCACACTGAGCTGGACCATCCCAGGTCCAGCTGCACTTACTGCAAAACTCTCAATCCAAAGCATTTCAGATTGCTGGTCTTTGTGGGGTTGGGACCTGCTGAGCTAGATCACCTGACTCCCTATTTCAGCCCCCTCTTTTTCAGTTGAATGAGCAGCTCTGTCTCCCAGGTGTTCCAGGTGCCAGTTGAAATGGTCGCCCAGATTTGTGTGAGTTTTTGTGAGGAAACCCATGGCACCAGCTGAAACAGCTGTGCTGGAAACTCATGGCACTTTTCGGCCCAGGAATCTTCTGGTCTGTGGGCAGTAAAAACTAGTTTGGAACCTACCCTCTGCATTGTTCTCACTGGGAACTGCACTCCAGAGCTGTTCCTATTCAGCCATCTTGGATCTTCTCAAGAGTTTTAATTTAAATAAAGTAAAAACAAAAACCAAATGCTCAGGTTCTTAGTCTTAAGAGATTTTGATTCCAACATGTTTGAAATAGGGGCTGGATTCATGTGCTGAAGAACACTGAAATTTAAACAGTACCCCAGATTATTATAATGAGTGCCAAGATGTCCTATATGAAGAGAGGGTGCATATATACTCTAGTAAGGTAAAGGGGCACAGTTGGAAAGAGTCTAGTATTTTAAAAAACTCAGTTTCTTTGAAGTGTCACAATGTATCTTTAAAGTAGCCTCGAATTTTATTTTATTAAAAATATATCTGTTATTATTTTACTCTTATCCTTATTTTTCCAATATCTTTTCTAGAATGATGTGTAATGTTTTTCTGGTAGCATTATATTCTCTGGAGCCCCACTGAAGACATACATTCCAGACTGACAAACATGTGGCTGGAAAATCCCGGATATCATTACCAACTCAAACACCTATTCAGAAATGTTTGGAACTAGATACATATTGCCCAACTTTAAATGTGTGATTTCCACTCTGGATCTCCCATACAAAATGACAGTTGCATTGCTCATGCCTACACAGTGAAATGAGGTGTTGAGAGTTTTTTTTAAATTAGTGTCTAATTAACTCTGAGCTGCTGGCAAATAAAATAATGTTGATTTTATTACATTGGGCATCATACTTTAAAAAGCTAACTCTATAGAAATAGGAAATTTTATGAAAGCATTGGCAGCTGTGGTGGAATTCAAAAGTATGCTCACAATCTCTTCCCAACTCCCACCAGCCCTCTTTTGAAGAATAGTCTGCTTTCCAGACTGATTCTCAAAGTTTTATAATATAGAAGCAAGTGAATAGACTAAGAAAAATAAATGCAAAAAGGAGCAAGTGGAGAGGAAAGGTTTAACAGGTTCAGTGACATGAGGAACAGAATAAAAGAACAAAATCTATACAGGCTTTAAAAGCATTGAGTGAAATATTGCATAGAAGAGCCTTAGGTAGGAGAATAAGTTGCACGAGACAGGTCATATGAATTGGCTCTTGTTTCATGTCTCTTGAGAAACATAAAAACTGAAATACTTTAAAGTTAATTTGGACTCTTTGGACTCTATCTCCATGGCAGTTACTTGGGAGCATAGACTAACCCATGTGAGCAATGCATGTGTAAAGATTTCACAGCTTTTCAGCCTTCAGTGTATCAAACTGAAAGTAATGTAAATCAAAGCCAGTGGCTACAGATTCTGCAGGTGCATGGGGAGCCACATTAGTAACTGCAGGGAGTACACAATGCTGAAAACAGATTCTGGTTCTATAGTTGAGTGTGACTGCTAGGATTAGGGGCCCTGATCCACAGTGAGATGAGCAGCTTGCATTAGGCAAATAAAGGAGATAGAAAAATATTCAGGCAGTGCAGGAGGAGTGCTTAAACCCAGAAGTTCAAGACCATCTTGGGAAACATATCAAGACATAGTCTGTATAAAAAATAATAAAAAAATAACCAGGTAGTGTGGTGCCTGTAGTCTCAGCTACTTGGGAGGCTGAGGGAGGAAGATTGCTTGAGGCTACAGCAAGCTGTGATTGTGCTGCTGCACTCCAGCCTGGGTGAAAAAGTAAGACCCTGTCATAAAATAAGAACAAAAATTAGGGTCTTTATTCTGCAACAATAGAAATGATACAATGTAAACTACAGAGAAAAAATAGACTGGATAAAATAATGAACAGAGCCTCAGGGACATATGGAACTATAAGACAAGCTCCAACTTTCACATCACTGAAGTCCTGAAATGAGAGGAGGAAGATAGCATAGCTGATAAAGTACTTGAAATATCTCAATTTGGCAAAAGGTTTAAGCATACAGATTCAAGGAACAGAGTGAATCCCCAAGAGAAAAAAAGCAAAGAAATTCACACCAAGAAACTATGGTTCAACTTCTGAAAATGAAAGACAAAATAATTATGAAAGCAGAGAGAGATAAATGACAGTTTACTTGTAGAGGAGAAATAACGCAAATGACAACAGATTTCTCACCACAAACTGTAGAGGCTAGAAGGAATGGCACAACATTATCAAGTACCAAAAGAAATGTCAACCCCAAATTCTATTGCCAGCAAAAGCATTCTTCAGGAAAAAAAGGCAATAAGGACAGTTTTGGAAGGAATAAAACAAATACAATTTGTTGCTATCAAACTTACTCTAAAATAACAGCCAAATAAAGTTCTGTAAACAGAAAGAAAATGATCACATAAGGATTCTGGAACATTAAAAATGAAGAAGGAACAAAGTAAGTAAAATACATGGGTAAATACAATAGACTTTCTTCTCCTCTTGGGCTTTCTACATTATTATATTTCACAGTAATAGCAAAAATTGCAGCACTGTCTGATGTAGTCCTAAATTTCTGTAAAGAAAGTATTTAAGATGATCACATTACAAATTGCTGTTGACTGAATTGTGTCCCATGCTCTAAAAATGATATGTTGAAAATCTAATCCCTGATGTGTTGGTGTCTGGAAGTAGGGTCTTTTGGAGATAATTCGTTTTAGATTAGGCCATGAGGGTGAGGCCCTCTTGTTAGAATTAGTGCTGTTACAAGATGAGACACTAGGGAGTTTGCTCTTTTTCAGCCATGTGAGGACACAGGGAGAAAGCGAACATATGCAGTATGGTAGGAGAAACCTCACTAGAAACAGACCATGCTTTTACCGTTGTGCTAGAAACTTCCAGCACTCCAAACTCTGATACATAAATTACTATTGTTAAACCACTCAGTCTTTGGTATTTTTTAATGGCAGCCTGAGCTTACTAAGACACAAATGAAGAGCAGTAAAAGGATATAAAAGAAGGCAAGATTTATGCACTTTAATGAGTAAAATGATGACAGGAATAGCCTGCATTAAATTATGTATAAGTAATATGATAGTGATATGGTTTGGATTTGTGTACCTGCCCAAATCTCATGTCAAATTGTAATCTCCAATGTTGGAGGAAGGGCCTGGTGGAAGGTGATTGGATCAGGGGAGCAGATTTCCCCCTTACTGTTCTCATGACAATTAGTGAGTTCCCCTGAGATCTGGTTGTTTAAAAATATGTAGCACCACCCGCTTCACCCTTTTCTCCCTGCTTCATCCATGTAGGACATGCCTGCTTCACCTTCACCTTCTGCCATGATTGAAAGTTTTGGGAAGCCTCCCCAGCCATGTTTCCTATACAGCCTGCAGAACTGTGAGCTGATTAAACCTCTTTTCTTTATAAATTACCCAATCTTAGGTAGTTCTTTATAGCAATGTGAGACCAAACTAATACATGTAGAGAAATAACTAAAAAAGCTATTCAAAGAAATACACTCAAACTAGAGAAACTGGAATTGTAAAAAATGTTTAACTCCCATGAAGGCAGAAACAAAAACAGAAAACAATACAGAAACAGACCACAAATAAACAAAAAATTAAATGGCAGATATAAACTCTAATACATAGTAAAAAATTCTCTAACTATACTAATTAAAAGAAATTGTCAAAGTGGATTGAAAAACATGACACATCAATATATTGTCTATAAGAAAGTTATTGTAAATATACTCATCCCTCAGTATCCACAGGAAATTGGTTCTAATATAGCTGTGCATACGAAAATCCATAGATATTCAAGTTCTTTATATAAAATGGATGTAGTATTTGCATATAACCTATGTATATCCTCTTGAATAGTTTACATTATTTCTTGATTGCTTATAATAGCTAATACAATGTCACTTCTCTGTAAATGTTGTTATATTGCTTTTATCTTTTTTGTGTGTTTTAATTTTTTTTCAAATATTTTTGATCTGTGATTGGTTAAATATGTGGATCAGGAACTTATGGATACAGAGAGCCAACTGTATTGATACAGGCAAATTGATGGTAAAGAGTGGAAAATTATTCATAAAGTAATCAATAGCAGAATTGACTATATTAATATCAGATAATATATATTTAACCACAGAAAAATTACCAGAGGCAGAAAGGAACATGATATACTTATGAAATTGTTAATGTACCAAGAAGACCTAGGATTCCAAATGTATATGCATCATACAAAATTGTAAAATATGAGAAAGAAAAACAGAACTGAAATGAGAAATAGACAAATCTACAAACATAATTAAAAATTTTAACACCCCTCTCTCAATAATTGATAGAACAGATAAATAGAAAATCTGCAAGGATACAGAAAAATCCAACAGTACTATCAATCAACAAGATATAACAAATTTGTATAAGATAATCCATCAAATGACAACAGAATGCACATTCTTTTCAAGTGCTCAAAGAACATATACCAAGAGAGACCATATACTGGGTCATCAAGCAAACCTCAGCAAATTTACGTGAATTGAAATTACCACAATAGAATCAAACTAAAATTAATTATCAGAAAGATAAGGTTTTCAAACACTTGAAAACTAAACAGCATATTTCTAGATAACTCATGAATCAAAGAAGTCTCAAGCAAACCCAAAAACTGAAATAAAAATACTACATATCAAAATTTATGAGCTATAACTAACATAGACCTGAGAGGGACATTTATAGCACTAAATACATACATTAGATGAAAGAAGAAGTCTCACATCGATAATCTAAGCTTTTATTTCGAGAATCTAGAAAAAGTAGAGTAAAATAAAGCCAAAGCAAGCAGCAAGATGGGAAATAATAAAGAGCAGAAATTCCTACTAAGCTTAAGAAATAAAAATATGAATAGATAAAATTAGTATGGCTGTAATATTCTTTTTCAGTGGTCTCTTGAGCACCTAAATTTGGTTGAACATCATCATCAACTAAGAGCTACTCATTCTTTAAAGCTCAAATGAAGTATCATAATTTCTAGGAAGTCTCTTCTAATCATATCAGACCCCAGGGAAAACATCCCTTGACTGAACTTAGTGGTAATTTTGACTGTCTTTACTTTTGTACATATACTATCTTACTTATCATGATAACCATAGGCCTAATGTGGTTCCTGATATAAATGTAATTATCAAAAGCAAATGTAGCAACCTGAGGATTTGAATATTTGACAGAAGACTATGGGAAGAAAAATGTCAAACATTCTCACAAAGATAAAATATTTTAAAAACATACTAAAGAATCTGTGTGGTTATTTTTTCTCAGATTTTGAAATAGGGTCATAACCTGCCATTCTATAGGCCAAATCTTGTCTACATGTATGCTGTATTTGGCCAGAAGTGTTTGGGGCTATGTTTTATGTCAGTGCTGTTAGTAGACTGGGCATACACCTTCTCTTCTGGTTACAGTTCCATCATATGCATATTTGACAGTATTGGGGTGCATCAAACACTATTACTTTCTAATCACCTTTCCTTTGATGTTATTTGATTTTAACAGCACCCTGACATTCCTCATACTTTGTATACCAACATACTAAAGTACAAAGATAAGTAAATTAAGAATCAAAAGATTTGAGTTTTAGGCTCATGTGCCACCTGCTAGCTGTGTCACCTTGAATGCGTCACATTACTTCTCTACAACACTATTCCCTCAACTACAGAATGGTGATGGTAACTCCTGCCCTGTGTGTCTCATGGAGCAAATGAGAATGGTCAGAAACTGTAAAAGTGCTGGTATCTGAGAGAGTTGTTACATGACCTCTTAGTCCCCTTCCTATAGCAAAATATTTTGTTTCCATGATTCTAGAACAACCACTAATAATTACCACTTCATTTTCTAACAAAGCTGTCATCTCCATAGTTATGAATATAAATGGATATGCTACTTAGTATTGTGATGATAAAAACATTAGAAATCCTTGACTGGCTTTCTGATGTAATTATAATACGTGAAATAAATGCATTGTGTGTTGTATGTTGGCTTCTCAGGAAACTGTGGGAAAGCTTGATGAGAGCCTGCCTGTAAGATTAACTGTAAAATGGCTTGGATATGAGCACTATCATCAGGATTGAAAACTGTCAACGAGTGTAATGAGAAAACTGACAAAAGGTAGCAGCAAGTGGCATTACAGGCCTCAAGGAGGTCAAGTTGTCTACAGGGGGCTCTCTGGCATCAGAGTTCAGCCTAATCTCATTACCATCTTCATTAACTACTCTGGAAAGGGCTCCAGGTCTCTTCAAGAGCAATTTGCAGAAGATGCTTACTAGTGAGGAGCTGAAAACAGCAAAATTGTACCAAGGAATCAGACATATGACAGTGGAATCTTAGGCAAACACCACAATCAGATTATCCAAGAGACAAAAACATTTGAGTTTGTAACCTCTGAAAATGCTTTCCCGGGCCGGGCGTGGTGGTTCACGCCTATAATCCCAGCACTTTGGGAGGCCGAGGCGGGTGGATCACGAGGTCAAAAGATCGAGACCATCCTGGTCAACATGGTGAAACCCTGTCTCTACTAAAAATACAAAAAATTAGCTGGGCATGGTGGTGCGTGCCTGTAATCCCAGCTACTCAGGAGGCTGAGGCAGGAGAATTGCCTGAACCCAGGAGGCGGAGATTGTGGTGAGCCGAGATCGCGCCATTGCACTCCAGCCTGGGTAACAAGAGTGAAACTCCATCTCAAAAGAAAAAAAAAAGAAAAGAAAATGGTTTCCCTCTCTTTGCTGTCTATTGAACAAAAACCATGTTCTAAATTCTAGTCCTTTCTCTGAGGTCTTCTTATATCCCTTCAAAGAGAACCATCCCTCTGTCTTCTGAAATTTTATAGTGTTTTCCTATTTTATATTACTCATTGAGCTTCTACAAATAAAACCAAATCTCACTTCTCCCTAAATTATAATTTCCCCAAGGCAGAGGATCATGTTTTAATTCTTTTGAAACCTGGTAGTATTCAGCACAATGGCACATTCACCTTACTTTAGATTTTGGATCTGATTCTCTAGCCCATCTCCACTATCCCATTTTAGACCCTTTCTGTCTTTATCTAAAGACATGACGTCAGCCTCTGTATTATTCATCCTCACTCTGATCTCACTGATGCCTCTTCACCATGCCCTACAATTGTTACTTTCTATACTGTGGTGTCACAAGAGTCTTCCTTATATGTTCAGCTGGTAATGTCATTCCTCTTCTCTGAAATTTTTGGTAGTTCTCCCTGGCTACTGAATCATGTATATATACCTTATTCTAGTTTCTGAGATCCTATTTGATCTGTTTCTATCCTGTTTTCCTATCTTATCTCTCACTGTTTTCTCTCACCAAATGGCTCCTTGTAATTTTCTGCTCACCAAAATCACCACACATGGGCTTACCTCTTTCCTGTGATGGCACCCTTGCCTCTCCACCAATTCTATCTGCATTCCTCGATTTCCCCACCTGATATATGCACCTTACTATGCTAGCTGCCTTTTATCTTTAGTTCCTAGTAAGATAACTACACAAACTTGGACTTCATCCTGACACTTCGCTCTCTCTCACCCTACCCTTCCATATCCAGCTTAACACCTAATACCATGACTAAGTGTTACTGATTTTAACTCCTAATCATGTCTTGAATCAGTCAATTTCTCTGTCTACTTCTAACACCACTACAATCTGTGATCTTGACTATCCAACAAATATCTAGTTGGTTTCTCTTCTACTTCTTTCTTGTTCTGCAGTGCATTCTAATCAAGTCACTCGTATGCTCAAAATTGTTTCTGACTAATCTAAAGACAAAGGTCAAAATACATATTATAGCCTACCAATCTCCTGCAAGGTTGGCTACTATCTCTTCGGTTTTGTATGACAGCAGGTTATCCATACAGCGGGACATTTCTTGGTACCCTAACCACTCTGGCCTTCTTTCAGATCCTCAAATATATCATGTTTCTTGGTTCCTCAAAACATGTAAACAGATTGTGTACTCTGTCTCAAATGTCCCTTTTCTTTCCATCTCCTTAACCCCAATCATATCTTCAAAGTCTTAGTTCAAATATAGTTTTCACAAGAACTTTTCTTAATGCTTCAGAGACCCTTTGCTCTATATTCTTATAGAACCCTGTTCCTCTTCATGGTGAATCTTTCACTGTGTAATCTGATTTGTTTACACATTATTTAAATAATGTCTTCCTACTGTAGCTGTATTGCCCTATGAAAGCAGTAATTTTCTGGGTTGTGTACATTATTGTAGCCTCATCTCTTAAAGAGGATTCAAATTTTGATACAGGAATTTATTGTATGACCAAGCTGATTACTTCAAATCTCTTGTTACTCATCTATAAATGTGTATGTTAT